CCGGTAATTAGTAGGCCTACTTATTTACGTGCTGTAATGTAAATCAGTACCAAATTTGGGCTCTTGTTTCGGGAAACCGCGTAAAAATGTTTTCGCGAAATACCCGAGTTTCCTAAAGGGTTGGGTGAAAAGCTTTACCTTTGTGCAAACCTCGGGGCCAAGACGATTCGTTTGGCACCATTTAAAAGCTGGTGAGTCAGTAATTTAGGAGAAGGGGTTTGGAGGAAATTCCCGGTTCCCCAAGGGGTGAGGTGAAACATTTTACCTTTTTGCAAACCTCAGAACCGAGACGATTCGTTTGTTACCTCTTAGAAGTCGGTGTAACCAGCGGTTTAGGGGGAGTCACGTGACACACACACAGACATTGAATATTAATATTATAGATTACCTAGAACGTTTTATCTACTAAACTAAACTTTAAGTTCCCATAAATTAATTGCATCTGCCACATCTGAAGACAACCCATTTCAAAGGCCAACCACCCAGCTAGAAAAATGAGTTGTCTCAGCTGAAGATGATTGTACTCTGCCAATCAGATCTTCTCGAATCCTTCTTTTTTTCAAGACAAAACAATTTCAGACATCTTAACTTGTCCTTGTATGACAACCTCTCCACGTATCATCCTAGTAATCCTCCCCCCAATGGCTCAGCAGTAAGCCTGAAGACTTATGATAATAAAAACTGGGTTTCAATATCCATGGTAGGCACAATACAAATATCCCATTGTGTAGCTTTGTGCTTAACAACAAAGAAACTCCTCTGAATCCTTTTAAACAATTCAAGACCTTCATAAAAATAAGGAGCCTAAGAATGAACACAATACTATAAATGTGGCCTAATCAATGACCTCTACAATGAAATTATAATCTCTTTACACTCATAAGCAATATTTCTGTACATTCAACATAAAATCCCATTTGCCTTACCACTAGCAACAGCACATTACTTGGATGGCTTAAGAGACTGGTCAACTAGAATGCCAAGATTATTTTCTTCCATAACCCTGTTCCCATTAAGATTATACTCATAATTCAAATTAAGATATTCCTCATTCATTACCTTGTATTTATTATAATTGATGATTGTGCAAGCTCTGAAAAAACAACAACGTTTAATATCCACTAATTGTTTGATATGCTGAACAACGCTCTTTCTGGTACTCCTTTAAAATGACATTGCTTATTAACAGGATAAAGAAACCCACTTGGAAAGCATATCCTCTACTTTTGCCTTTACACTGTTGTTTTACTTCACGAAAGCCTACAATTTTGTAAGACGTATTTTCAATCTTGCTCTACAACATTCATCTGTTGTTCGAAAGTGGTATCAAAGCATTATGGAGCACCAGGCTTTACACAAGAAGCATGTAATGCATTACAACATGTGCTAAAAATGGAAAAGAAGGAACCAGTAAAGTTATTGTGCTTTAATGATATATGAAATGACCATAGGAAAACATGTGGAGTGCAATAGAAAGACATTTCTTGACTATGTTGATGTTAGTGCAGATACAGAAAAAGTTTCCAGATCATCTTGCATCCATGCTTTCCATCCCAACGATGAAAAGTGCTAGATATATGTTATACATGATATATGTCACATGCTAAAGCTCATTCAAAACAGTTTTGCATATGAGAAATTTTAAAAAGTGAAAATGGTGGATGTGTTAAACAGCAGTTCATTACCGATTTGCACAAATTGGAAGAGAATAAGGCTTACATCTAGGAAATAATTTATGATCAATGATAGAAGCAAAAATTTAAAAAGTTTGTGTTGAAAAGTTAAGTTCAAATGTGGTAGATGCCTTGCAATTTTGCATCAGAGACTTGAACTTACTTAACTTTAAGGGAAGTGAGCCTACAGTTGATATTTTAAGAACATTTGATACTCTTTCATTGGTTCAACTCTAGAAACACGTTTGAAAATAGAGGTTTGTTAAAGACATCAGCAAGTGTAATCAAAGTACTTCAGGCAACAGAAAGCTGTTTTGAGAGATTTCTGAAGTCAACAGATGGCAAATTTCCTCAAGCAAATACATATAGCGTTAGAATACAGATTGCTGTTTTGAAAGAAATTGTTTGGAATGGAGTTTTTCTGGTTTAGATGGACACAAGTTTGATTACTCACTAAAAAATAATCAAGTTTACAGTTTGATAAGGTGTTTAACTATTATATAAAAAAGACGAATGCATCACCTTACTGAACGACAATATGCAAAAAGATTTCAAAGTTAATTTTATTTAAACATCAGTAGTTCCAAACTGTATAGATTATAAAATGTTTGAATGACACCCAAATTATATAGAGTACTGCTTTACAAACTTTCAAATGTATATAGCACATTTATCAACTATCTTATAATTTGTGACATTAAATGTAAAAAAAATTCATATAAATATTGTAATTAATGTAATTCAGTATTATATGTACTTTATTAGCCTACTCATGTAAATATATGGTATTCAAAATGACACTTCTGCAGCACTGGAAAACAAACAATTATAGCACATAATAGTTTTGTGCTATTTCAATATTAATACTTGCATTGTGTTTATAATGGACTTCCTACTTCACCACAGACTTGTATAAGCTTATACCAAGATTTGTCATTGTATTGTTTATAATACAGCAGACCGCAATAAAATCAGTTTAAACCAACAGAATTTTGTCAGTTACTACTCTTTATTTATACGATGCTATTTCTACAAACAAGTATTTTTGGAATTTATGTAGCCATTTTCTGTTCATAATTACTACAAAAACTTAAAAAGTGTGATACAAATAATATAAAACGTGCATAGTGAAATTATAAGAAGTACCGTAAAAATTGAAATCGCCAAAATCGAAAGAGTGAAATAATTAGAAATTATTCAACCATTATTTGGATATATTTGCCTCGATAATTTAAGGACCAACAATATGGCTACCGCTTGACGTCAAGTGTCAATCCATTTCACTATAGAGATCAGTGAACTGTACAGATAAACAGTAAATGTGTGTCCTTTTACCCTCATTATATGATCACACAGATAATTATTACAATGTTTTAAGATACGTATAGCGGAAATTACGATTAATCTCAACTAATAACAAGATGTTTACTTGAGGTCTTTGTATTAATTGGACTTCTCATGACCAATAAGGGAACATTAAATTTCTAACGGTACCCCGTTCAATTTTGTAGCTATTGGAGTTAGAGTGACAGAAAAAGAGATACAAATTACCCATTATAAAAGACATTCCCTTTCATATATAATTATATTATTTAAATAATAAAATATACCTTATAATCTGCCTTTATTATAACTAGTTTGGGTTTGTTTGTAGTAAAACACAAAGGTACACAATGGGCTATCCGTGCACTTCACACCACGGGTATCGAAACCCGGTTGCTAGCGTTTTAAGTCCGCAGACATACCGCTGTGCCACTGGGTGGCAACTAGTATGGAAGATGAAAAAGTTGTACTTACTCGCAAATATAAACGTGATACAAATAACACGATAATTGGGTGACTTATTAAAAGGTAAGATTGGAGACGGCTTGAGTGGGCAGTGACAGAAACTTTATTACAAATGTACAACGTTTCGACAAGCTTATATATATATACATTTGTGGTGAAGTACCTTTCACTACACATTCAAGTTCTTTCCAAACTTTATTACAAATGTACAACGTTTCGACAAGCTTATATATATACATTTGTGGTGAAGTACCTTTCACTACCCATTCAAGTTCTTTCCAAACTTTATTACAAATGTACAACGTTTCGACAAGCTTATATATATACATTTGTGGTGAAGTACCTTTCACTACCCATTCAAGTTCTTTCCAAACTTTATTCTCTATTCCTCTCTTTCCCTTGGTGCACGAGAAGAAAAAAAATGCAAGTTACGTGCACGTTTTCCAAATTTAATCCTAAAAGCGAAAAACTAATTATTTACTTTTTATAATTAAGCATGCTTACTTTATGAACAATATTGAAATATATTGATAAGAAGGTGTGGCCCTCGGATATCTTCTTTCCTTGAAATTTCTAAACGCTATCTGATTGGCTCAGCGGCAAGTCTGGGGGGGGGGGGCTCCTAACGCTAAAAATAGACTTTCGATACCAGCGGTAGGCAGAGCACAAATAGCCCTTTGTGTAACTTTGTTCATAACAACAAACAAATAAACTGATTAGTTAGTGACTCATTAATCTGACACGATATATTTAGTGTTTTTGTATATTACTTGTACTTTACGAACAAGAAAAAATATGAAAACGTTATGATACTGGTGTAATCTTATTTTTTACTATCGGTGTTTTCAATTATAAGTGTGTTTTTCAAGTTAAATTTTTAGCACAGGACAATCGCATAATTAGCAGAATTAAAAACCCTAGTTGCGCACATCTACGTATTTACATTTGCCACGTTTAGGGTCAAGAATATAGCTTGGGTTATCTTAATACGAAATTACTTTAATGTAAAAATGATCATGTAGTTTCATTTACGTGATCAATCCAAACATGACTTATTTCAAGATTACTGTGCCCATTTATTTTTATATTCGTTTGTATGAAACCTGTTTCCAGAAACGTATATTACAGAGAGTGGTGATCTTAATGACGTCACAATAGTAAAAAATTTCACGCAGAATCTTTTATAAGGCATGCCATACTATTGTGTTACCGAACTTTGTTTGTTGGTTAAAAGATTATACACGTGAACACAATAGAAAAGAAATGGCCGAACTTAACTTCACATAGGAGAAACAACCATTTCTAACACAGCATTGCCGTATTTTATAATAGCATGACGCCGCAAAACAACGACGCTTCCACTTCGGAAGCAAGGAAATCAATACGATGAGTAAGCCTACTGCGTGGATTTCCATTGGTTGCGCAATAACACGCCTCATTATGACACGTTGCCAAAACAGTTGAAATACGTAATTTTCTTGGAATGACGTAGCTTGTGACGTCAGTTTTCTCCATGTGCGACATTTGCCGGTAGATGGTATAAAATACGATGGTGGTAGGGAACAAATGATTAAAGTACCGTGGTGCGGTTGGTAATAAACTGAGGAAGATATCTATATCTAGCACTGAAATATTCTATTTGGTATACCCAAGTAGTAAGTTCTCTTTTTGTATTATATGGTAGAAATTTTCCAAAACTTCAAAGAATTCTTAAATCTTTCTAATAAACCTAACGATAGAACTTAAAGCTTAAGTAGGGTTTTAAATTTTTAATAAACAGAAAACTTCATAAAAAAGTTAGTGCTAGACATATAACATGAAATATCGAAACATTATTTTTCATATGCGGTTTTTCGGTTAATTGTATGGAGTGAAGTTATCAAATCTCTTGAAGAACTGAAAGGTCCTTTCACAATTTTGATAAATTAAAAACGCAACTCTTAAAAAAGTGAAAAACGTAGAGTAAGGTAGTTTGCAACTAGAGCTGCCTGGAGTTTTTATTAATCTCATCGCTATATAAATTTGTAAGCTTTCATCTCTTCAAAAAGTTTGACTAATTCTCATTAGTCCAGCTTATTTCGCAACCAAACAACTGTAAATCCCTTGATTATTGTCCTGGTGCAATTCTACCATGAACCAAAACATAAGAGTTCATTACCACAAGTTCTAGAAAAATCTCGCGCGCACAGAGAGAGAGCCATTTCATATTTCGATATGTACAGCTGTTTCATGATAGATATTGTGAGCTCGTGAACCACGTACTCTTCAACCATTGTATGTACTCGTTGTGTATCGTTTAGTACAGTCATATTTAAGCAGGTGCCATATAATTAGTTGACCATCAAATATATCGTGCAGAGGCATTAAATTTTCTTGGAATTATTGATTTGGTCAGGGATGTAATTAAGGGTATGCCCCCATTTTTGAAATTATTCATGTCACTATTCAGCACTATTATTTTTTTATTATTTATTTTTTTTTTAGTTAAAAAAAATTAACCTAATTTATTTAGCCTCAAAATTTTCGCGTCGATTTAAGGACATGTTCAAACCGGTTAATAATATTATTCAATTACATACGTGCTAACCAAAGGATTAAAATGTTTTTTGTATACCATAACTTCGTTTTAAGACGCTATATTAAAACTTTCTTTACCCAATTAGTTTTATTTTCTAATTTTTACTGTGTTTAGGAGTTAAATTACAACAATTAAGCCTATTTTTAGTTTGTAATGACAGATGTTTTAATTATTACTGTTGTTAGAACGGGTTGGATGTGGCATAGGAACTAACGTACCAGGTTGTAATTCGAGGGTCCATGATCCACGTCCGTTGCCGCAATATCGCGCTCCGCACTTTATGGCCGTGAATACGTTATAAGAGTGTCAATCAAATCCCACTATTTGACTAGAGTAGCCCAAACGAATGTTGGCTATATGCTTTAAATGTATGGAGTTCATTCTTATATATGGCCTACGTATTTTGTTATTATGAAAAAAACCTTCGAAATATGCCTTAAATAAGTTAGTTTCTTCATTATTTTAATGATCAGGTAAGAACTCGCACAAATTAATTAAAATCATTGTGACAAAATTTTTTATATTTTTCTTGCTAAAATTCCGATATATTTTTTGTTTCATATCTGCAAAATGTGATCCTGTTGGAACATTACTAAAGACTCGACAAGTACAATCAGCCGTCACAATGAATCTAAATATTCTTCACATTAGATCTTCCAACATAGATCCGTATCGCCTTACAACGTTAGAGACCGGGTTTCTATACCCGTGATGGGTAGAGCACAGATAGCCCACTGTGTAGCTTTATGCTTAATTACAAACAAATTGTCTACTAATATGTAGTAAATGTATACTAACACAGTTAAAATTAACATAGAAAGTAGGCATCTCTTACTTTGATATTTTAATATAACTATTCAGACAGCAGGGCAGCAAATAAAATTAAAAAAAAACCCGCAAAACTTCGTTGTGACAGTAGTAAAGTGTACCTTAGTAATAAGGGTAACAGAAATGGGGGAGGGAGGGGAGGATAACATTTCCTCGTTTGGAAGAACAAGAAAGAGGGGAAAGAGTTTTGGCGCTATTTATAAATATTCCCTTGATCCTCGGCTGCACTAGGTTAAGCCTCCCGCTTCTGCAAATCCTAGACCTCCCCCCAGTGGGGATATATTACCAGTTTAACCTCCATTCGTGTAGCACCACATGTGAAAGAATAATTAAGAACAAATAAGAATCCTCAAACCCACATTCACCATATGTAGCCAGTTATAGGTAGGTTAGGTAGCTGCCTCTAATGAAATAAATGAACTAAGCAAAAAAGTTACCTGAAGTGTTTTTTTTTTTTGTGATAATACCATTACCATGGCGACGGATCTATGTCATCGATAAACCTCTGTAAGTGGTTCAGAAGTATCCAGTTGTTATGCCCCATCCCATCCCTGTGTTAGCCATCTTTGTTTCCAGAGCTGTACAAGTTAACTTATCGATTAAATACAAATACCAAAGGTTATTGATGATACTGTCTTGCGTTGTGTTCTTCGTACTGGCTTAGCAACAGTCTACAGACAAGAAAACAAAGACTTTGTTAAAGAATGTACCATCGTTAATTTTAGTATTTTTTTTTGTCTTGGTTTATTGTGTAAAATAATAAAATCTATAGCTTAAATATGGCTGCTGATATGCAGATTGTATTACTGGAATTCTATTGACATCTTACTCGCACATACAGTCTCGTAATACAGTTGTGTACTATATTGATTAAGCACTATAATCGTTTTATTCTGAGTTTTTTTCGACCAATCGGATAGTGACTTGTACGAGAGGTTCCCTGCACCTGCAACTTGCTTATCGCCTGCTTTTTGGCAATATTCCAAAGAGAACTAACCTAAGCCAGTTCGAACAGAAGCAGAGATATTATTTCACTCAACGTTACATGAGTTATTGTGTTTCAATATTATTGAAGTTTTATTACTTCGAATAATAAATTAACTCAACTTACCGTATCTTTTAACTGCTCAAAGCTAGGGAATTATTATTTCTTCTAACCACAACTTCTTTAAATTTCAACTGAAATATTCATGTTTTTTTTATATATATATATTCCATATTCTTTCGTAAAACCGTGCATCATCATACTTAATATTTTAATTAGTGATTTTGCTGACCTTTAACTTTTACCTATCTTTTATATACTGTAGTTTTTAACTTTTTTGTTCTTGTTTTTTTTAGTTTCTACGTCAAGTATTACTTGCCCTCGTTTGAATCATTGCCAACTTTTACGTCGGAGGACTAGCCGGGGGAGGGGGGGGGGGGCGTAAAAATCTAGGCATATTGATCACACATTTTTCAGCTTTTATATAAAGCCTCGTTTTGTATAATTTAATAAAAAACAGAACTTTTATAAACACTTGTATTTGTTTTGTTTTAATGATCATTTTATTAGAAACTTAGTTCACTTTCAGCTTTTTAATTTATCCCTCCCCCGAGTGAAAAACCTGGGTACGCCACTAACTTACGCTTTAAGAAGAGTTCATAGACCAGTTCAAGCTGCTAATGCTAGTATTAATATGCTGAGTTCATATAGCTCTAAAACTATTAATTTATCTGAAGTTATTATACATTCAGAAGCGTTGATTAAAAACGCGAAACTAAATACCGGGCTGCAGTTATTCCTAATATATCTCAATATTTAAACTTTTTCAAAATTAGAAATTTCCTAAGAAATTCTCTAGATGTGTTTGACTTAAAAGAAAAAGACAAACGTTTGATTTTTAATGAATATTAATTTTATGCCAGTTTTTCTTTAAGGATCTTCACTGTAGAGGTGAATATCAGTTGTAGCCATGCACAAAGTGATAAGATACCATAGCAGTAAATCTTTCGTATAGGATTATCTTGGTAGTGGCAACACAAAGTACTGCCTTTTTTTTCACCATACTATCTTTTCTTTAAAACGATTTGTAAGCAATATTGCTAAATGTACACCCGTCCCACCAAACATGCTCGCCCTTTCAACCGTGGGGGGCGTTATAATGTGACGGTCAATCCAAATATTAGTTGGGGTGGGTCGTGATGACTAGCTGCCTTCCCTCTAGTCTTTCACTGCTAAATTAGGGACGGCTAACGCAGATAGCCTTCGTGTAGCTTTTCATGAAATTCAAACCAAACAAATCATCCACTTTCGTGTTTATTGCAGTGACAGTAGTAATGATTTCACACTCTCCTAGCTAATTTACAATACATACTATATAATATTTCTACATTTTCGTGTCGATATACTACATATAATGACGTTATTGTTCACACATTGTCAAAGTCGTAAACGTTACTAATAATTTTACTCGGACAAAGATTGCATTTTGACCTTGGGCTTGCTCCACTACAGTGGGTCAGCACATATTAAGTGGTGGCACAGATAGTTGTACAAATTGATAACCTTGGATTTTTCTACAATTATAAATATAATTTGGAACAGTACTAATGTGAGGCAGGTTTGGATTAGGGTATACCACACTTCTGAACTCTTTCTCTCTCTCTCTCTTTGAATTTAGCGTAGTAAATCAGAACTCTGTCCAATGTAGACCTTTCAAAGAAAGCCTTCAGCCCAGCAACCAAATTTTATACTTTCATAACTTGTAGTTTATGGGTATGTTATATAGCGAATGTTTAATATTCGGATTTGATTTTTATAAAGTGAAAATTATAAACGAGAGCTGTTACCATACAATTTTTTCCCACCAGAAGAGAACAACAGGAAATCATCTCTAATGACGTGTATATTTAATCTTGCCATCATTTCATGGCAATTATATATTTTTCTTCGTGCACACATGTGTGTATATATATATATCCCAATCGAATTATTAATTATCAAAGCAAGCTACCTGCATAAATCAAACTAATGCAAATATAGTAATACGTAGTGATGATCATAGCTAATTAATTATACTGTTCAAACTATATTACTCGAGTTTCGCTACCCTTGCTGTTAGTGATTTTTGGCTCTACCCTAATAACGTCACACGAGATTTGGACAGTGGATATATTTATTGATCTAATTAATACAGTCTACACTGACAAGTCTTACATTCGAAGTATGTCGACCACAAGCAAAAAATGTTATGCAATAAACTTCTAAATTGATTCATTTTAAACCTAATGAATTTTCTGCTAATACTCGCATGTGGAATGTTTATGTGTACAGAGCGTAGTATTAACATTTTTAATATATTTTTCTATATTTTTGCAAGTTTTATTTCATTTTCTGCCATTTTAAAATTATAAAATTGTTGATAATTTTTAACAATATAGTAATTTTTGTAATGAGTATTCACTGTCTTCAACTAACATACCCAGAACCTAATGTGTTTTCTACCTATAAAATGTTTCAAATCATAAAAATAATGTTAAATGGTTTTCCACCATTAGATTTATAATCATTTTATAGTTTCATTTTAGATAAAATGGCATCACCAGGAAACAAACCTTCGGCTATCTCTCACGGCGAAATGAAGAACTTTGCCTTTGGTTTTCGGGCCATGAGGAAAAAACCGGAGGTAAGAATTACCTGAGTAAGAAATTAAAAATAGGCTTTCGTTGATCTTATCGTACTCATTACCACAGCCTATTGCAATTATAATCGCATTGCATTTTATAATAGTTAACTGTAACGCATTTGGACAATTTACAAATGTATAACAGAAGTGAACTGGGCTGCCTGCGTTGTGCCCAACACGGGGATCAACCCGTTATATTTAGCGTTACATCCTTTAGGCTTGCCGTTGAGCTACCAGGAGGGTGTAAGAAGATTGGCAAACTTTTATTGTTAAATTAAATTGATGCCAAAAATACTCGTTTAATATTATTGTTGCTACGTGATTACTTTTCTGTTGGTTTAAAAACAAGAGGAACCAACATGCATAAGATTTAATTATACAAATCACGTACACTGCAAATATTTTGCCACATCTCTCTTAATTTGTACATATAAATAGCATTTCTGGGATACTGTTTCTCTCTTCACCCAGCGAACTAAATTGTAGTATTAAACAAAAGGTCATTTGGGCAGTGACCTGAGGGAAGTTAGATCCGAAATGCTATTTTTAAACGAAATGGATACATTAAAAATGTGACAAATGTGCGTGTATGTATGTAAGGTATATCCTGTAATTTTTATAATTATCACAAATATTAAACCTATAAGTTTCTGATGCTTCGCTAGTTTTCTACGGTTAAACTAACTTTGAGATACACAGTTTATTTGAGGCAGTTTCACGATGCGTTCTTGGATCACCAACTTCTTAAGTGTAAGTGATAACAGGAGGCTAGCTGATGCTGATATACTTCTCAGATTGTTGAACTGGTAGCAGTGGAGTTGCTATTAAAGTAACTTCGGAGTGCTTTAGAAAAGTATTGCACTAATATGTTGTAGCAGGATTTACAGAAACAGTACTGATGAAGGCGTAAAACCGAAACGTTGATCAAATAAACATAACTACAATATGTGCAGTTCACAATCGTTTCGTTTCTTCATAATTCGATCCCTAAGTTGTGCATAAAACAAATTTTACTACTATAAAACTATATTATATTTTTATCGTCATTAATGCTGTATTGATAGTGTACGTTATTTTTTTTATTTTTTTTTTTGTTAGAGTAAAAATATGTTATGGCCAACATTTTGCACAGAATATTTTGACCTTTCTCGGTTTAAAGAACTAATGCTTTAACCTATATCAATCTACTATTTACAGAATTTTTATCATTATTTACTTTAATGATATAAATAACTCTTCCAGAAATGTCAATATCAACTACTCTTGCAGAATTTGGCTTTTAAATTTTTTGATCACTGAATTTTAGTAAGGAAATCTTTTTAACAACAATTGTTCTCCTGAAATTATCAACTCTAAGAATCTACCGCCTTTAGACCATCATTTTGAACCAATATTTCTTAGTTGTTATATTATCAAAAAATATTTTCCCAGAATTGTCGTCCTCAGCTTACGCTCTAATTGAACTTTGTGTCATGTAGCACACTTGTTGACAAGTCTATTTTTTTTCTAGAACTGTAGTCCTCAGCCTACGTTCTAATTGAACTTTGTGTCATGTAGCACACTTGTTGACAAGTCTATTCTTTTTCTAGAACTGTCGTCCTCAGGCTATGCTCTAATTTTTTTTAAGCAAAAATCTCTACGCATTTGGCTGTCTGTGCTATGCCCACAACGAGTATCGAAACCAGTTTTTTAGTTTTAAGCCTTTTAGACTTCGTGCTGTGTCACTAAGAGACACTTTAACTGTACGTATTACAGGCACGGTTCTGACACAACGTTGATCGTTTTATAAGAGAATTTTGTTACAGTTTTAAAGATTGTCGAAGAAGAACCCAGATGAAAATGCTACGAGATTAGCGAACTCTCAAATATTTAAGTTCTGATATCTAATAGGTACAAAATACTTTTATAACTATGGAAAACGGTCACAGAATTACATCAAAAAGACAAACTGTATAACCTGATAAAACTTATGAACGATCAAATATTTTTGCAAATTATAATTCGAGAATGACAGCCACGGAAAACGGGTTTTTCTGTTGCTAAAACTTATTTATTCATAACCAACCAAATTATGACTGAACTAAGCTGTAGTTTACTTTACACAAGGCTCGGCATGGCCAGGTGGTTAGGGCACTCGACTCGCAATCTGTGGGTCGAGGGTTCGAATCCCAGTCCTACCAAACATGATCGCCCTTTCAGCCGTGGGGGCGTTATAATGTGACGGTCAATCCCACTATTCGTTGGTAAAAGAGTAACCCAAGAGTTGGCGGTGGGTGGTGATGACTACCTGCCTTCTCTCTAGTCTTACACTGCTAACTTAGGGACGGCTAGTGCAGCTTTGCGCAAAATTCAAAAACAACTTTACACAATATTATTTATTCATAACCAACCAAAATTATGACTGAACTAAGCTGTAGTTTACTTTACACAATATTGTTTATTCATCGTCTGAAACGACTTAGATTGGAAAGTTTTACTGATGTTGTTGTTGTTGGTAAGAAAGTATTTTGTAAGACTAATGAGGTCAGACATAAGCTTAATTCAGCTAAGCCGTAAACTTATCAAAAACCCGGAAGTTTAACTTTGAAATCGGATCAGAAATTTTATTTCAAACACTTATGGCACAATCGTTTTTATGATGCTTCTACAGCTAGCACAACTGTTGGAATTTAAAAGATACTTACAGTACGACACGCCCAATCTGCTTCATAAGAACTTTTTGTTTTTTCGTGCCACGCTTGCTTGAACTTTCTCCTTTAGTTCAGGTATTTATAGATACGGGAAATGGGCAAGTTTTGGGATCGATTCCGGGTATTGTACAAACCGGGTTTTGTAATTTTTTTTTTATATCACTTTTTATAATATTCAATTTTAATAATTATGTAATGTTTGATTGAAATAAATTTTGTGCCAATGGTGACTTTTGTATAATATTTTATCATTTTTATGAATGTTTGTTTTTGTTTTTTTCTCTCATAGATTATACCCCTAATTGCAATCATGACAACTGCATGCGTAGGTGTGGCGGCCTACTGTGTATATGCTTTAGTACACAAGAGTGATGTAATGTAAGTTGTTAATATTTCTACTGGACTTTGTTGTAATTAAAAAAAAACATATCTATCAAAGAACTTCTTATCTGCCTGTGATAAATGATTGTGTGTATCCAAGACGACAGATCTTTAATTTCATAAGATAAATTCATCCTCGTCTCCCTACTTGAAGCTTGGATACTTTTGCTGAGAGGATCAATCAAAAACTGTATTTCCCAAACGTTTTTAAGTCAAAATGTAGGGAAAGTTTAACCCGCACTAACGTTATTAGTGTATGTGTATACACGGCGAGTTACAAGTCACATGCTATACCTGTATTCTCCACTTTCTTCGTGACTTGCTAATTTAGTTCACCGTCAGTATAGAAGCACTGCGCAACAGAAGTGTTTGGTACCTGTACCCTGTCTTATCACTAGTACTCTTCATTTATACCAGTACAGTGTAAAACTACGTTTAGTAGTATGAAGTGTAAGACCGTTTATCAAACTCGTGATAAACTGTCTTAAAACCATAATCTTATCCGAATAATGACCTTTTCACTTAGTTTCCACTTACTTTAACGAATAGCGATTGTTAACCATTTCGAGAGGTGGAAAATTGAAATATATATATATATATATATATATATTCCTTTCTAAATACACACAAACATTTTCCATTAACCATAGTTCAAACTTAATCTATAACTGACTGAGGGTAAAAAAAAAAAGATCGTTTCCCTCATTGGTTCTTAAGTAGATCACGTAATTTTCATCTAGTAACAAGTAAACTGCGTAAGAATACAGTTTAGTAACAGATCATCATTTCGTGATTCTTGCACAATATTAACAACATAACTGTTTCTGTAATATAAGTAAATAAATATATATTTTTTTTAAATAGAAGTTTCAAAATTCATGTATTCTAATAAGCTACTCTTCATGATAGGATTGACCGAAGGAGGCAACAACCACCGTGGGAAAGAGTTAACCCTGAAACACCTCAGAAGGTAATGATTTTATCGGTGGTTAAAATTTACTCTAAGACTTGAAGTTATGTACTTTGAAAGACATGTTTTATTTTTAAGATGGCGGGTGTCTGGGAGAAACATGATCAAAAGCTTAATATAGACTGCGGACAAAGTATTTAATGTGTCAACCTCCTTATTTATTGGTATACAGTAGCTTCTATTAAGTCCCCATTGTAACAACTGTTCAAAAACTGTTTGCTCCTGATTTTAACAAAAACAAACTCCATTATAATAAACCTGACAGCAATGCTGAGCCCCCCAGTGGCACAGCGGCATGTCTGCGGACTTGCAACTCTAGAACCCGGGTTTAGATACCCGTGGTGGGCAGAGCACAAATAGCCCATTGTGTAGCTTTGTGCTTAATTAAAAAACAAACAAACAATGCTGAGTTAAAAAAAAAAAAGACAAATTTCAATGAAAGTTTGCTGAATCATAATGTAATTTGCTAATGATATCTAATCTTACGCTTTGAAAACTACTTATCAAATTTAAAGGCAATTAAATACTTGCAATTTACTACCATCTTTAATGGCCAAAGTTACGTTTTCGGCCTACCGTTAGTTGATAGGAGTTGAGTTCATCCATCTGTTACCTAAACTTGATTCACTGTTGGATCATACTGCGCTGGGGAAAAGTCGTACTACAGAGTTTAAAATGTACGAACTAGGCATTTGCTAGACTAATGGGAATGGGGGGAAAAAAGGTTATCTTACGTTTAACTCTGTTCACACACACACACATACACATACACACACACACACACACACACCTCTGTGCAAACTATTAATTCTCTCATTAGTTGATAGGAGGGCACATGGGGTTGAATTCTCCAACCTTCTGTTAGTTATTTTACTGTTAGTGCATAATGTACTGGGAAAAAGATTCTAGTTGAAAATGTACTACATTTTGCCTTGTACCTCATCAATATGTAAGCTTTATCCTTAAAATTGATGGAAAGTTACTTATTTTGAACATATCTTAAACTCTTATTCTCTCTTGTAACTGTGTTTCATTATCAATCAGTTAGTCTTATTTAGATAAGTCATGGGATCGAAATTGTATTAATTTAGTTCATAGTGAGATGTGCCAAACATTACACTTCTCTTATAGAAGATGCTGAAAAAACAAATATGATCAAAACTTGAACCCATCGTCATTATTTCAAGCATTTCGTGTAAAATATGCACAAGTTTATCAGTATTGTTACGACAGCGAAAGTCGCGTTATTCTGGTAACACGTAATGAGTTCTAGAAAG